TAAGTGGAGCGAAACTTAACGATACAGGCTTCAGCCTATGGCCTATAGTGCTCATGATGGCATTTTAAGAAAAAAAATAATTTTTTGTAGACTTAAATGTTCTTTTTTTTTATTTATTTCACAGCTAAAACGGAACACCTTTCTGTGTCTCCTGAAATGATAAATCAAACTTAAAGTCATGATGGATATACTTTTGTGTGTGTGTGTGTGTGTGTGTATGTGTGTGTGATGGTACGGTTGGTTTTCAGATTTTTGTGCCCTCTAAACGTATTATGGAGACTTCTGGTTTAACAGTTGGTAATACATTGTTCCTATTTGCTGGACAGCAGTTCCCTTCCGTTGCAGCTCCATGCAGAATGCTGAACTCATTGGAAGGACACTGTAGTAATGCTACAGCTTGTCCTCGTCTTCCCTTTACAAAGGCGGCCCATTAGGGTTTAGCTGTTCATCAACCAACGCGGTAGTCGCAGTAATCCGTCTGCTCGTGCACCTTTGTTACTTTGAGCTGCTGCGTTATGAGAAGCTGTAGTCACTGCAACTACAAATGAGCAACGATAACAAAACAGGGCCCGTAGGCCCTTTCCACCAGTAGCTCCTCAGCAAAAAACAATGCAATTTTACTTGGTAAGTAGTAGCACATTCTACTGGATTTACAATTTTAGCACCTAAGCTCCACAAGAGTTGAGTCAACACGAAAATATGACAATGGATGAGTTATAAAATCAACTCTTTTACTTTGGCAATTGAAACAGCAACAGCGCGTTATTATTTCTGTTATTGTTATTGGGGTACCTGGCTGGACTTTAACCAACGGCACTGTCCAACAACGAGGTTTTTTATCATACAAATGGTACAAATGACGGTAAAAACATTCAAACACACACACTCTAAACCAAATCGGGTCGAGATGAATGTGGGAATAACTTTGAACCTTACATTTCCATTCGGTGCATTATCTGGTATCATTGTAGTTCACTTTGGAAAAAAAAAACATTTGCTCAATGCATTAATATTAGCTCTACTTAC